ATAATTTACAAGTAATAACAGTAACACAAATAGTACCTAAAATCTGTTCGAAAAATGAAACCATTTTTACTTGAATAAACTCAATGAATACATACAATTTTTAGATGTCTAAAGTGGGGATATTATAGTTCAATTATCACATTCGAAATTCTGTTCGGAAACCGAAATATCATTTGCTTTGTTTTCTTTGAGAACCGAACATCTACTGCATTTTATATAAATAATTAATTAATCACTTCATAAAATAACTTCCCATTAGACATAACCATTAAATACCACGTTAAATTATTGTCAAATGAACAATTTTTAAAGTTGTTAGTTTAGAATATATGTCGATTCGGTATGTTCGTGAAAATACTTGCAATGTGAATTCACGTGTTTTGTGAAAACCGATGAGAACAAAATACAAATTCCGTTTTTTTGCAATAACCAAAAAAAAACAATTCCTTGTGTTTTATTTTCGTTTTTTGAATTTCTGTTGTAAATTTGAATTGTTTTTATGTATGTATGAATAAACTGAAAGTCGTTATTAACTGAAAACGTTATTAACTACTACGGAATTTACATAATATTTTTTCTTATTTAATTCGTATAAAATATAGTTAATACATAAGTTTTTTCATAGAATAATATATTTTTTGAAAAATTATTATTTAGTGGAAAAATATTTTAACACCTCACTCAATAAGTTCGTAGTATGACTAATAAAACAACAATGTTTGGGCAATATTCAACTTTGTTAATGAACATAGTTTATTTCAAGAGTGACACATACCAACGCTTCTACAACATTCTTACATACCGCATGAAAATATCCTTTTTATTTCGCTTGAACAGCTTCAAACAACGCTCAGAATCATCAACTCGTTTTTGGTTCACTTTTACCTTGAACCCATCTTGAACAAAGCTTTCAAATATTTTTAGGGTGTCAGCTATATCACACAATATCAATTTACGATCGTCTAAAACCATGTTGAAACTTTTTTATGTTTTCTGTAACAATTGCCGAATTTGGGCGACCATCATCATTTATGTCTGTACGACCGCGTCAAAAATCAGCAAACCACGTCTCTACCATTTGTCTCGACGGAGAAGAGTCCCCATAGCACTTATCAAGCCATTACTTTGCTTGAACGGTATTTTTCCATCAAAAAGTATTTTGTTTTGAAAATTACAAAAGTAGCGTTACTAAAACCACTTTAACTTGTGTAAAAAATAGCTTATATTAAAATATATTTAAATTTTCAATTAACCAATGCCTACATAATGAAAGTATTTCTGAAACGAATCTCGTTGCCGCCGAATCTCTAATAAAACGATATTACGGGTTCAAATTTCAGTCGACTCTAATTAATTATTAACTGAATTTCACTTTGCATAGCTGACGTAAAATTGTATTAAAAATACAGCGAAATATAGCAGTAGGGTATACAGTTTATAAGCTTCTATAATAATCAAGTTTCTTCCATCATAGAAGGAAATATTTACATTGCAGAAAATTTTGTGCTTCTCTTTATATTTTATCACGATGTTGAATAATTTGATTACGCAACAGATTCTGTCTGAATAATAATACTTGTTTTAATTTTAAATTTCTTTTAATAATACAATAGTGTTTTTTTATATTTTGTTTGCAGTAGATGAAAATATCATAAAAGTAATAATTATTTTATATTATGAATTTCTTTACATTAACAACAACTATATTTTTTCATAAAAAATACATATTTGAATTATAGCGAAAAAAAAAATATAAAAAGGATCATGTATGTTATTTTTAAATCTAATTTTGAATAAATTCATTCATAATTTTCGACATTTATAATTGATATTTATTATTTCTAAAAGACTTAGATCGATAGTCATTTGGTCATTGTGAACTAATTGTTGATGTTTAATAATATAGTATTACTAAGATAAAAAGTTAAAAAAACGTATTTTATGATAGCGTCTTGTGTCTTCTTGATTTGTATTATAATAATATACGTTCTTTTTATAGTGTGAAATTCTATTTGCTAACATATTTGTTAAGTCCAAATACTTATTTTTATTGGTATTTACATTTATAGTTACGTGTATGTAATAAAATCAAATAAATTAAATCAAAGCAGATGTTATAAATATGATTCTTATAAGGAATATGTTAATACGATGTAATTCCAAGTAATTTTATATAATATACATCCATGGAATGTTGAAAGCCATATTTCTGATTAACGATTCTATTTAAATACAAAATTCCTGTACAAACGAGGAGCGGAATAAGCAAAACAGTTAATTAAGCTTCATTTAAAAGCGCACTCGTCGCACTCAAGCGTAAACGAAATTTAATCAATTTATGTAACCGCAGGTTATATGTACGCATTGTATTAATGTCGGATCTTTCATGTTTTGCAGATGTGAGCTCTGAGCAGATGTTGATACAGCGTCTGGCCGAGCTGCAGGTCAAGCTCCAGTATTTGGATACGATGTACAGGGCGAGACAGGAGGACCTTCAGCAGTTGTCTCTGCATATAGACCAAATGGCGATGCCATCATCTTTGGATGGGAATGGGACAGGTGCGGGTTCAAGCAGTACGCTGAAACCTGAACTGCGTCAAATGGTCAGGAATATGTCGGGGATGAACGCAGCTCACGGTCTAAATCCTCCGGTGATGCTGCGACTGCCGTCATCCTTTCACTTCTTGCCGCATCTCTTAGATGATCCGAGCAGCTTACGTCTGGCATACCTGATGTCAAAAGGCAGGACGGGAGTTTCCGTGGTCCTGGGAATTCCCACCGTCCGCAGGGAGAAGCACACTTATCTCATGGAGACTTTGCAGAGTTTGATTGACGGCATGAGCATGGATGAACGTGACGACGCGCTTCTCGTCATTTTCGTGGCAGAGGTAAATCAAATAATCCATATTAATAAATTAATGAATATATAAGATATAACAATATAATTTATATATTCATTAAAAGTAATGCTAAAATTAATAACAGTTATTGATCGTGATCTTTTTGCCAAACGATAATTAATAAATTAAATTGATAATATTTAATTTTATACTTACTTTTAACACGTTTATGTTTAAAGTCAAAGATATCAAAATAAAAGTCAAATAAGAGCTTTGCAGTTGATGATTTTTAAAGGAAATATATAAATTCATATTAAAGTTTTTCATTTTTTACAATTATTATTGACCCCATTGTTGGGTTAAATCGACCTTAGTCTTTTCGTCTTTATACAAAATATTTATTTTGAAAGTATTTTCGTAAGTGTTTTAGTAAGAAGTATAAAAATGTACCAATTAAAACAGTTATTGTACCTAAAATTTAATAATAATGACACCATTTATTGAAATCACAATGGAATTGCACAAATAATTACAGACAATAATTATAATTGTAGTGTATAATATACATATTAAAAAATATATTACATTTTTTGGAATTGTATTTTTCAATTGGCAAAACTGCTTTGATAAGTGTTTGTTGATACAACAATGCGTACAGCAATTGATGATTCAATTATAGAGCTTAAAAGACAACAAATATATTGCAAAGAATTAAAGTAATATTGATCTATAAATGTTATTATTATAATTGAATTAGTGTTACATTTTGTGGAATTCTATCCTGCAAGATTTAATGAGTATGACCACTTTTCAAAAATAAAAGTTTGTAAAGTCGGAACCATTGAAAGTAGTTATTTGTGGTGGCTTCAATGGATAAGCAATGTTTATTTTGGTAGTAAAAAAATAAAACTTCTCATCTTTGTATATGCATTTTGTTTATATATAAACGATATAACGTACGAAATTGGACTAACCCGAACGTCCTTTACATAACAATGTAGAATTGTTAATTTAATTACAAAAAAATCTTGATTTAATTTCATATATTAAATTTAGGTCTTTAAAATATAGTAAGTGTAAATAAATAAAACTTGAAGCTATTTTTGGAATTGTAATATTATGGAAATAAAATAACAAACTGAAGTACTTTTGCTTTTCACGTATGACATACTATTATATTGCATTATATTTCAATTGCATTGCTTAATTTGCTACTTGAGTATAAATGCAGTAATATATTTATATAACACAGGGGTTCCCAAACTTTTTCGGTTTGCGGTGCCCTTCATATATCAGAATTTTTCCTAAGGGTCCTCAAGTCAAAACATTGGTCTATCTCAGAGCTAAATTAATATGTCAGAATTGGGCACCACTGCGTATAATTTGGGAACCCCCAATATATAAATATACAATATATAAAAAACCGAAATGCATACCTAGTTGATCTCATGTGTGCCCACTATACAGTAATATTCTAAATTTCAGTATAATTCGTTCAAATGCGTTATTTTCTATTAATTCATTTAAACAGAATATTAACATAAAAGATCAAAAAAAGATAATATAAGAAAATAATCATTATAGTTCTATGTTTTACATACTAAGAAATAGTTTATGAATGTAACATGTAAATTCAGATAATCAATTTTAATGTTTAATAATGTATAAATCATTACCAACGTAAGAAGATGGTGCTTTTAAAACAATCAGAAAATTATCTAATAGGTACATATAATGAAATTACATATTTATGTCTGTTAACTTGTTTATACAAAAAACATTTAAATAATTTAAGGAAATAAAATAATACAGGTTTTCAAAACAAAAATGTGAGAAATATGTATTGTATTATAAAATCATTGGTTAATGATACAAATGTACATTTTGCCCACGACGACATAAACTGTAGCGCCGGTATTTGTTTATCAATAATAAAACAACACAAATTTTGATTTAGTTAAAATATTCATGAATTTAAAAACTTCTATAATAATGAAAAAATATATCCATTTCTCAAATTAATTAAATAATTTACGTGACAATAAAACGATAAACATAAAATTTGAAGAACATAAGGAAGTAATTTATGAAGTCTCCCGGCATAATACAAGAAATAATAATCAAACATTGCATAATTATACTTATATTCATCTACAAAACTTTTTTGCCTGAATATTGAAGCAAACAATTTCACTGATGTTTGCGTGTGGAAAAGCTTTGATTCGCTTTACGTCGGTGGTCTAGAATCAGGAATCTAGATTCTATAACTTCTCGCATTAACGAAGCACGCATATTATACACATTTACACTGTAGGTTACAAACATGTTGAATAACCCGAAGAAATATGATTTGCCGCAAGGTGGATGCTTTTTGCTGGTTTATACCATCTTGCAATGAAATTGATCATATCTAAATCAATCGCGCCATTAAGCCCGACGCGAACCGATAATTGGACTGGCCGCAGGATATCTGCTTTACTGCTTTTTAAGGATGCCTTAAGAATTCTAAACGCTCGTTTTAACTCCTGCAGCCCTGAATTATGCATACCCACTCCATCTCCTTCCGACTCGTCTAGTCCAAAACACGTACAAATACATCGAGGATAACGGTTGCTCAATACATGAATTGTAATTGATAGTTTGCTTTGGCACATTACAATTATTCTGCCGGACAGGACCTGCCTGCATTCGATTTTAATAACCGACCACATTTAATGCCGGTAACTCTTCTGCGGCCCAAACTACCGTCATTACTGCACCTGCCTTAATTGCAACCTGCTGCAAACGGTTCGGTTTTAAATAAACAGAAATATTGCATAAATACAGTTCCTTTTATTTATCGGAATTGAAATTCGCGCGAGTCATAAATATTACTTATGCATTACAATATAAACATGCAATTTTATGATTTATGAAACATAAATTTGTATCACGTTTGTCAATCATATAATCCCATGACATTGACAAATGATTATCAACTACAATTGAACACAAATCTGCCATGTAGTTAGTGCACCTGAAACATTAATGTTATGTGGATGCAGCATTTATTGATAATATTTAAAACGGAATTTCACTTAAACAGCTATAATTATTACTTAAATTACTTTGTTTTTAGTGATCATATTTTTACCTTGGTTCCATTCACTCTTTCGATCCGGCATTCCTTTCCAACTTGTACTATTCAAACCGCTGGCTACGCAATTCCATTTCTAGGTCGCATGCATTCTTTCTTCATTATTCACTCAATAACTCCTATTTTTATAGTAAGCTGAACCACGGAGGACTTGTTTTACATAACTTCCTACTAATAACATTACCATCCATATTAATATTACTGTCAATGTCACAACTCTAAAATTAATTTGTTTTAATCCCTTTGTGTGCATAATATTAATAAAATAGTGGAGGGAGGAGATTTTCATGAATAAAAAATGAGCAAAGTGAAATAACATTACTTAAATATCGAGTGTGTCTATCTGATCCAGCATGTGAAATCAACGTTAGTGCTTGTATGCATTTAATACACTTTACCATAGTAGAATTATAATGTAATAGAACGGAGACGATTTGTTAAGAAATAACAAGTATTTACAGCACATGTCTGAAGAATCTTGTGATCAAAAACTAGATAGAATGTAATCAATATTGTTTGTACACTCTTTTATTTTTCTCAATTAAAAGTTTCTTTTGAAATTTTCAAATCCGGACTAATGGAGGTATTACTGTATATAGTAATGTCCAAGAAACCAACCATCCTTATATCTATTAATTCGCCAACCCAACGGACATGGGTAATCAAAGCAACGATGTATGTGTACACATGAATTCAAAAATTACTTTACCGTTTCTTTCGTGGGAAGATATCATAACAAACCATATTTTAATGTACTGTAGTCTATCTTGAATTAAATGTTTGATCATTTCCATATGATATAAGCAGTAAAACAGTAAGTTAGAGGTATGTGTATCAACAGTGAAGTTGTGTTACATTAGAATGTTATTTCTTAATATAATTTGGATTCAACTAATCATGAAAAAGTTAACATTTGACGTTTTTAACGTTGACATACATAAAAAAACATACTTTATGAATATGATATGATATGAGTATACTTTTATATAAATCAGTCTATTTTCGAGTCACAAACATTGTATTTGTATAAACAATTTCACAGCTATAATGTACTTTTAAGCGAATAAACAATTACTAAAATAACTACGGATTTCGCATAAATTTCAAACTGAGAATCGCAAACGAAGATGTTTCTCAAATTATACACTACAGTACCTGTAAAGTGAACAAAGCTGGAAATATAGCATTTTGCAATTACCGACCGTCTTTCTAATGTATTTTTAATTGGTTAACTTATGTAAGTAAAAGCATTTTAAATGTTTCAATTGTCAATTAATGTTATTGAATGAATTTTTAAATAATGATATTTATTAAAAAATATATATAAAAGATGTACAGTAATTATTATTACAACTTTCTAATAGGTGTTAAATTTTAAGATTTGTTTTAATTCTATGTAGAATTCTTAAATGTTGGGTTTGAACATTAAAACTTAGATGATAGTTTTATAGCTTTTGATGCTATAAACTTTACAGTATAAAGTCTATTGTAATAGGATTTCTTGGGTAGATATTGTATACAAAGTAAAATTAAATTAGGAACAATGATTTAACCCAGACTTTTGGTAATTAATGTTTTAATGATTGATACCTAATAGTAGATACGTAAATTACCATCAAACTTCTATAGCTGGTAATCAAAAAGCTATGTTAGATTATATTATAATTGTGTAATAGAGGAATTCATGGAAAAATATTAGTCTAAATCTAAAATTTAGTTTTTCAACACAGAAAGATATTTATACAAAATAGACAATTTATGTGATCTTTTGTTTAAGGTTTCAACGAAAAGCGTTGCAAGGCACATAGTAATAGTATTTGAGTAAATAATATTTGATGTGCGGATATGAAGTATCAAAGTTGTCAGAAATATTGGAATAAATAAAGGTTGAGTATAAATGTCTGTCATGGCA